ATATATATATATATATATATATATATATATACATACATATATATATATATATATATATATATATATATATATATATATATATATATATATATATATAATAACCTTTTACTATACTTGAATCATAAAACTCTAAATCTAACTATATACTTATTAAACAATTAAAACCATACTAATACAAATTTACTATCCATTTACTAATTTTGGCACAACATGTTAAAATCTTTAAATGTATGTATTCCTAATATAACAAAATACAAATATCATTTACTATATGCTATATGCTAGTAATTAGAATAAATGGCAAAGAGCTGTGCCACTGTCGATGCAGTACACCCACTAGGGAAGAAATCGACAATTGAAATCATTTAGGCAGTTAGATCACCTTCAATATTTTCGTATTTTTTTTGTTTTATTTTAGAAGTAAAATAGAGAAACGCAGGGACTTTCCTCTTTACAGATTTCTTGTTTCATTTCACAGTTAATAGATTAGTTAAAACACTTATTCATATTATTCACAACTGAAAAACGTACTTTTTTTCATTGAGGCATTTCATCAAACACCTTCAATGCATCTTGTTTCCAGATTTGAGATTTTCCCTAGGTTCAAATCTATAAGCACCGGTGGTAAGGCAACAACTTCAGTGATGTGACTTTGGTGGTGGTGGAGATACAGTGACGTTAGAGGTGGTAGCAGATGGTGTTATTGGAGGTGAACATTATGAAATCAAATATCTAAAGGAAATTGGCTGAAGAAAGAAGTAGATCTAGAGGTGATCGAGTATTTAAAGGAGAAAATAGTTATATACTTCCTCAGATCTGTTGTTCCGGTGAAGCAAATCGGAGAGGTTGTCTTTTACTCCCCTAGATCTGGAGATGAAGTAGATCTTGACTTCGAAATAGAGTGTAACATTTTTGGTGTTTCATCGAAGCACATTTGTTGATGTGTTTCATCGAAGCACATTAGTGATGTATTTATCATCTATCTTGATAAAACAATATTTGAAATGAAGGAGTGGAGGCCGACTCTAGAAGGTCCAAGTGTTTTAAGTCTCTATCAGGTACGTTGTGCATACCTCACGTACCCCAAGTGTACGAGCTAAAAACGCAATTATTTTTGATAAAATGACAAAAATTGTAAATACCCGTAAACCAGATATTACAATTCTTCCCCACTAGCATCAGACTTCGCCCTCAAAGTTAGCCCCAGAAAACAAATCAGGGTAGTGCTCGCGTATCTCAGTCTTAGGCTCCCAAGTCCACTATGAGCCTTTCCGATATTACCATTGAACTTTAACCAAGTTCACTACCTTGTTCCTCGAAGTCTTCACTTTCATATCCAGAATCGCCACTGGCCTCTCGATGTAATTCAGGAGAAAATTAACCTAAATGTCCTCCAAAGGAACCACAACCATCTCATCGGCTATACAATTCATCAACTGGGAAACATGGAAGGTATCATAAAGCTGACTCAACTCCTCAGGTAGCTCCAACCAGTAAGCCACCTTGCCCACCCGAGCCAATACTCTTAAAGGGCCAATAAACCTGGGGCCCAACTTGCCCCGCTTCCTGAAGCGGATAACACCCTTCTAGGGGGATACCTTCAGAAGTACCAAATCTCCAACCTGAAACTCTAGCCCAGAGCGTTGCCAATCCGCATAACTCCTATGGTGGCTCTGGTCCGTCAACAATCTCCATCTAACTTGTTAGATAAGATCGCTCATCTTGAGCACTATCTTAGTGGTCTTCATAACTCTCTGTCTGACCTCGCCCTAGAAACTAAGAGTCCAAAACATCCTTTTATAAAGAAGCTTAAAGGGAGGCATGCCAATACTGACATGATGGATGTTGTTGTAAGAAAACTCAGTCAAAAGGAGGTAGGAAACCCAACTCCCACCAAAATCAATGATTCAAACACGCAACATATCCTCGAGCGTCTAAATAGTCCGCTCGCTCTGCCCGTCAGTGTAACATCCCAAAATTCATGACAAAAAAATTCCATTTTTAATTACGTAATTATAAAAACCAATAGTTTGAAAACATCAATAGTGCCACCCCATATCACAATCAAAACCAATATCTCAATTACCAAAACATTTCATAAGAAAACAACATCAGAGTACAACTCCCAAAGATATCATGTGCGGAAAATCATAGTGTGATGTGCTGCGATCATGTCGGCTCCTTTCCTTTCGAAGTAGAAGTATCTGAAAGACTGAAACCAAAACCGAAAACCGTAAGCACGAAGCTTAGTGAGTTTCCCCATCATACCACCACTAAACAATAAACATATTGCCTAACATATATGAGTGTTGGCCTACCCCTTTGGTCTCTTTTAACCAGATATTGCCGAGCATATCTGGGTGTCGGCCTACCTGTTCGGTCTCTTTCAACCGGATACTGCCGAGCATATCTGGGTGTCGGCCTACCACTTCCGTCTCTTTCAACCGTATACCACCTAGCATATCTGGTTGCTGAAAGATTCCCAGTCCTCAGCTGCTGAAAGATTCCCGAACTCACCCAGTCCTCAGCTACTGAAAGATTCCCAATAATGTCAACTAGCTACCTCATGAATATAGCTAGCACACATTACTAAGAGTCCCACAAAGCACAAAGCAAGTAGCATTCAAACAATGGAAAATCTAATCATCATATTCCAGTCAAACCATTCTATCCTCTACTCAGGAATCTATACATGCAAATCAAAGGCTCATACAATCAGGCACAACCTAAATAGGCTATCCTATCACTCACTGATCTGTACTATCATGCAGCTCATCAAGCACATACAACAAGCATATACGACATCTTTCTAGATCCTTAGCCCTAATCTAGCATGCAGTTCTTATAATCATATCATATCATAACATAACTTGTATGAGTATCTTGGGGAGAACTTACATGAGCTCGGCTGATTGCACACATCACACACCTTGTTCTTTTCAAAGTTCTTTTCCCTTTTCAATTTTTTTTTCAAATACTTTTTGTAAAACATGATTTTATGTTGAAAAATTTCTTACCAAGTCCTCAGTTTGAGTCCAGACACACCCGAGAGTGTCCCAAATCCCTCAAACCAAGGCTTCGATACCAACTTGTAACATCCCAAAATTTAAGGCCAAAAATTTCATTTTAATTAAGTTATCACATAAAACCATCAGTATAAAAACATTTATAATAATATCTCATGTCAAAACCAAAGTGTCAACAATCAAAACATAGTATCATAAAACCATATCAGAGTGTAATCCCAAAGATCTCGTGTGGGGAAAACTATAGTGTGATGCGCTGTGATCGAGCCAACTCATTTCCTTTGAAAACGAAGTACCTGAAACCAAACTGAAACCCGTAAGCACAAAGCTTAGTGAGTTCCCCCATCATACCACATTCCATACAAAACACATACTACCAAGCATATCCGGGTGTTGGCCTACCCCTTCGGTATCTTTCAACTGGTATTCGGGGACTGTTTCACCCCTATCACTACCACATAATACCATAGCATAACATACATAAATATACTGTCATGCATATTTGGGTTCCCGACCTACCCTTTCTGTATCATTCAACCGGTAACTAGGAGCTAACCACCCCTTTGGTATCTTTCAGCTGGTAATTGGGGACTATTTCACCCCTACCACTACCACATAATAACATAACATAACTTACTGCTAGGCATGCATGGGTTCTGACGACCCCATTGGTATCTTTCAACCGGTATCCGGGGACTATCTCACCCTTACTACTACTAACACATATAAAAGAGCATCCTAGCACATAGAGCATATTAGATAGTTGCAAACCAGACAATTATCACAAAGACAATCATCTCATACATAGTCACCTACTAGTGGGCCAGAATTGATGCCTTAGACCAACCTCTACTGGAAGGTAACTCACCTCACACTGCTGGAGTCCCATAGACACAACCTCTAGCTGATGGATGACGGATTCCCGTATTGTTAATATCAAACATCACCCAATTAATAATTGGGTTCCAACACATAACCATAAATACATACTTGGGGGTAAATACCACTTTACCCCTAACTTAGCTTTATTCAAACCCAAGGCCCAATCCAGAGGCCTAAAATTCAACTATGAGTCAAAGCCGAACATATGGCCTAATTTTCCAAATTTGGCCCTAACTTTTACCAGGTGTTACCATAAGGCCCAACCATTTAGTCCAGTCCAACATTTAACATTCTAATGGCCCAATATCACATAATCATGAAGGCCCAATTATGGCCCATATATGGCCTAGTTTTCCAAATTGGGCCCAGACCCTCACATATGGGCCTTATCCTAAAGCCCATTAAAATATTGTACTCCATATGATTATTTTTGGATGGCCCACCAATAACTCAATCATCAAGGCCCAATAGAAAGGCCCAACAATAAACCCAATTGAAATTAGGGTTTCACATAGAATGACAATTAGGGTTAAGTGTTTCGCACTTAAACCCATTAAGTTCATCACTCTTCTAAATAAATCATATGGTGTGATTGTGCTTTATACACAATTCCATTCCAATGGGCCAAATGTGGGTCCCCCTAAGTCCAAGCCCATAATTCCAAAATTAGGGTTTTCTAAACCCTAATTAGGGTTTTCTAAACCCTAATTAGGGTTTTCCAACCCATCATAATCCAATAGGCCCAATAGATAGGTCTTTTCATCAATTAAGGTTTATTAGGCCCATTAGGGTTTCACTAGGCCCATTAATCACATGTTTGGGCTTTTAGGTCAATTAGGGTTTCATTGGGCCCACTAGGGTTTTAGTCCCTTTGTCCAAACATCCCAAACGAGTCACAATACAAACTAGGCACACCGCCACCTAACACGACTGGTGGCGGCAGCCACCACCTCACACTGGTGGTTTTGAGCTTTCTTATTATTATTCTGGCACGAGTACAATTTTACAATGCAAAGACTGAAATAAACACACACACACACACACACTCGCTAAGATACACACACACGGTGGTGCATGGTGGCAGCCACCATCTCACGATGGTGGTGGTGGCTGTTCTTCATTTTCTAGCCACACAAACACATGCAACAGACACTTCAAATAGTAGTATAAACTCCAGCCACCCACCTGTTGGCTCATGGTGGCGATAGAAATGAATTTTGGGATGGCAGCCACCACCTCATGGTGGTGGCGGTGATTTCTTTGGTTCCCAGTCAAACAACCACACCCACGAAATAACACAAACCACTCGGACTTGAAGCAACAACGTATTCGCACCCACGTGAAAAATGAACATGGCAGTCCTTGGGCGATAAGCGATAACCGGAGCAACATGAGAGGTGCATAGGCGGCGGTGGGTGGAGGCTGGAACATAGCACATGAGAACAGGAAACAACAACAGCCATTAGCGACACAAGATGATGGTGGGACAGCCGTTGGAGTGGTAGCGACGATGCTCGACGGTAACTGCATCATTCTGACGACGTGAGTTGTAGCGGAAGCAGTGGAGAGAAGCGACAGAACTATCGCGGTGATTGCAAATTCGATGGCAGGATGGGTAGAGGTGGTCTTTGTCGGCCGGAGGATGGATGTAAGTGGGTGGTGCGGCGGCTAGAAGAGGGAGGCATAAGGGTGGCGACAGTAAGAGTGTTTAGTGTTAGGGTTGGTACCAGGGGCGACGGGTTTAAATACCCCGATCCCCTTAACTAGTTTCCATAATGCCAAAAGTAGTGCCTCCTTTCCCCATGTCTTTCAAAATAAGTCCAATATTTACCATTTAAACCCTCAAAATTAAAATCCATTACAACTTAGGTACAAAATTTACCAAACTGCCCCTATCCTCCAAATTCTCTTCAAATGAAGTCTCATAAATTCCCATTTAATACCTGCCTTCAATAATAATTACAAATTAAGTCCGAATTTTACACTTTAATCCCCGCCTTCTAAAATTATGACAGTTAACTCCTCGAGATCAACACCTTGCTATATAATTGTTAATTTTAGGGCTTTTGTCCGTTTATTAATTTGTTTGTTTATTTATTTAATAAATGCGGTGTTACAACTCTTCCCCACTTAAATTAGATTTCGTCATCGAAATCATTCCTTATCATTCCTTACATGGCCAATCACTCTAGTAACATGGTCACCATCCTGGGCACACCCTAGCCTTCCCAGGGTAGTCGTTACCCATCTTCGCACAACCCTAAAATCAACAGATGAATGAATTCCTCGCAACAAGATAACATCTACTCGGTCTGAAATCTGTTGTCTCGAGATGGTTTGAATCCCTGACAGACCACTCATATTGAATCATTATCGCTGAATCTAGTCTGTTTATCCCTCAACTGACTACTCAACTTCTGATAACCTGAGGCTCCCATTAGAAAGTTGAAACCACAAACCCAATTATCCCTGTAGGTCATTTAGCATAACCCAAGCAATCTATTAAACATCCAAACTTGCAACCTAAAACACAAATACTAATACTGCCAATCGCTAAAACTGTCCGAACATTAAATTTCCCTAAGCAGTATGCATCCAGATGGTAGCTTTCCAAAATCTATCGAGACCTGTTTGATCTCAATTCGTTCACCACCCCTCTAAAATATCGGGTTCTAGCCCGATTTTGGAGTCAAAAGACTCACACGCAGTCGCTCCACGTGACTTCTGAACGAAATCCTTGTCTGTCAATGGTTGCCATTAGTTATCTCACCACTATAGCTCTAGCAACCTCCTGATCTAAACGGTCGGGTACCCAAGGCTAAGAGTGATGGCTACATGACCAACGGTAGCCTTATATCATACACAAACCTAAGTAATCCATTGCTTCCATGATCTCATAATGTAGTGGTGTTCCTACCATCTTATCACTCGCTTAACCAGATCTAATCCTTCTGGGGAAATCCATAAACCAATCCTGGATTTCCATATCCTCACTGCTACACCAGAATGGGTACTACTGTTCCTTCCGCGTCCTAACAACGGGCTCATACTATCTACCAACCTAGTGAATGTTGCGGCTACACCCACATACTCACATCACTCTAGCACTATCTGCTAACCTTTGTGAATGCTACGACTACACCCGCAGACTTACAACACTTCCCATACTACCTGACCACTAGTGAATGCTACGGCTACACCCGCAATCTTACAACACTCTCCATACTATCTGATTGCTAGTGAATGCTACGGCTACACGCGTAGTCTTACAACACTTTCCATACTACCTGATTCCTAGTGAATGCTACGGCTACCCCCGCAGTCTTACAACACTTTCCATATCGGTCGAACATGCAATCGACCTAAGACATAACTGAACTTGAGTTGTAACTGGAGCTCTAACCTGGTTCTTGAAACCTGCTGTCTGAGAGTCTCGAAGGCTGCCTGCTGCTCAGGCCCCCAACAAAAGGCTACCTACTTCTTGGTTAGTTGGTTCAAAGGAACCACAATCTCGGAGAAGTCCCGTATAAATCTCCGGTAATAACCCGCTAGACCCAGGAAACTCTAAATCTCAGTTGGAGACATCGGGATCTCCCACTGCATCACGACCTATGCTTACCAATGCTAATGATTGATTACTAGTCAAACCTTAAGATCGTCTATCCTCTGAAATCATGAAGAGTACTCTTGAAATCTGGTCTAGTATGACACTTCAATCCATCTCCTAAGTTGTCAACTGAAGGCCTTAATCTTTACCCTGGCTAATGAGTCCTCGTTTCCACTTCCATACTTGCAGTACCACCGAACTCTATTCGAACACAGCCCATGCGAAAATACCATTCTCTTGAACATCCAATGACCAACAACTTATGTATCTAACACCTGAAACTGACACTATCATCTTTATTCTACCAGTCCTGTCCTAGAAATGGTAGTGCCTTGAGCTTCCAAGGTTCTTCTATAAACAACTATCGACCATACCTGGACCATGATAGAACCACTGAACGCCGACTTCGCTGAAGAACTATCGCTCAAACCTTGACCGCTTATGCTCTAAATAATACTCCTGCACAGATTCCGAATAAGATCCGAAATGATAACGGTACACATGGAACCCACTCCGCAATATGCGTCTCTCTGTGGGTTCATCAAGGACTTTTTGGCATGCATGATGGCATATATGATCCTTGACCCATACACTAGCAAAAAACCGACCCGAGGTCGGACTTATCCAAACTCACTCACAATTTCAAGGCGATACGTATTCCCAACATCCATCTAGTAGCAATAGAAGATAACATACCCGAAACATTTGTAGGAATACAGATCACCTTCAGCTGACATGATCAACCCTGCCACACCTGTAGCATCCTAAACCCATGGTGCGACAAACTCCCTTGTGCACTTTCCCGTACGTGCAGCACTGACTCCGGTCCTGGTGGCCTTTCACCCGATGATCAGAAGTAATGGATCTCTTCCCGGGACCCTCTACTATACACACCTGGCACGGACCTCTCTTCCCAGGGCGCTCCAAACCAATCTTACATATACAAACTCTTGGAAGTCATATCCTTCAGGGTTGACACCTTGTCAAGCTCACTAGCTCACTTGCCAATGGCTAAGTTGCAACAACTGGAACATCCTCTGTCCCCTAAACCGGGTCACAAACTCTTCCCCGAAGCTCCTCAAATTCTCTAAGACTCTCACTGATTCGAGTATGGATCCTGTACTTCTAGTAGTACGGACCAATTACTACCTTCCACACCTATCCATACTTTGCTCAGCAATTCTCCCAAACCCTTCAAGTCACTTCCTCAAACTGGTACACCCAACTCCCAATCATCCTCACTAGTAACCCACTGAATCATATCCTAGGCTTTCCTAGGTTCCCGAACTCACCCAGTCCTCAGCTGCTGAAAGATTCCTAGTAATGTCAACTAGCTACCTCATGAATATAGCTAGCTCACATTACTAAGAGTCCCACAAAGCACAAAGCAAGTGGCATTCAGACAATGGAAAATCTAATCATCATATTCCAGTCAAACCATTCTATCCTCTACTCAGGAATCTATACATGCAAATCAAAGGCTCATACAATCAGGCACAACCTAAACAGGCTATCCTATCACTCACTGATATATACTATTATGCAGCTCATCAAGCACATACAACAAGCATATACGATATCTTCCTAGATCCTTATCCATAATCTAGCATGCAATTCTTATAATCATATCATATCATAACATAACTTGTATGAGTATCTTGGGGAGAACTTACATGAGCTCGGTTGATTGCACACATCACACACCTTGTTCTTTTTTAAAGTTCTTTTCCCTTTTCAACTTTTTTTTTCAAATATTTTTTGTAAAAAATGATTTTATGTTGAAATAAATTCTTACCAAGTCCTCAGTTTGAGTTCAGACACACCCGAGAGTGTGCTAGAATCCCTCAAACCAAGGCTTCGATACCAACTTGTAACATCCCAAAATTTAAGGCCAAAAATTTCATTTTAATTAAGTTATCACATAAAACCATCAGTATAAAAACATTTATAATAATATCTCATGTCAAAACCAAAGTGTCAATAATCAAAACATAGTATCATAAAACCATATCAGACTGTAATCCCAAAGATCTCGTGTGGGGAAAACTATAGTGTGATGCGCTGAGATCGAGCCAACTCCTTTCCTTTGAAAACGAAGTACCTGAAACCAAACTGAAAACCGTAAGCACAAAGCTTAGTGAGTTCCCCCATCATACCACATTCCATACAAAACACATACTGCCAAGCATATCCGGGTGTTGACCTACCCCTTCGGTATCTTTCAACTGGTATTCGGGGACTGTTTCACCCCTATCACTACCACATAATACCATAGCATAACATACATAAATATACTGTCAGGCATATTTGGGTTCCCGACCTACCCTTTCTGTATCATTCAACCGGTAACTAGGAGCTAACCACCCCTTTGGTATCTTTCAGCCGGTAATTGGGGACTATTTCACCCCTACCACTACCACATAATAACATAACATAACGTACTGCTAGGCATGCATGGATTCTGACGACCCCATTGGTATCTTTCAACCGGTATCCGGGGACTATCTCACCCTTACTACTACTAACACATATAAAAGAGCATCCTATCACATAGAGCATATTAGATAGTTGCAAACCAGAAAATTATCACAAAGACAATCATCTCATACATAGTCACCTACTAGTGGGCCGGAATTGATGCCTTAGACCCACCTCTACTGGAAGGTAACTCACCTCACACTGCTGAAGTCCCATAGACACAACCTCTAGCTGATGGATGACAGATTCCCGTATTGTTAATATCAAACATCACCCAATTAATAATTGGGTTCCAACACATAACCATAAATACATACTTGGGGGTAAATACCACTTTACCCCTAACTTAGCTTTATTCAAACCCAAGGCCCAATCCAGAGGCCCAAAATTCAACTATGAGTCAAAGCCGAACATATAGCCTAATTTTCCGAATTCGGCCCAAACTTTT